TTTACTCCGTAAGAAAGGGATCAAATCGCCTAGTATACTTTCACTAAATCGTGCTCCTCAAGAATTGACGCAACCAGTGAATATTGTGAAAACACAAGCTAAATACCCTCGAGATTGTCAAGAAACATGTAAAATGTGTCAAATGAACCAGTAGATTATCTTCAAGTAAAATGATTATGTCAGCTACACTATATATCGTACCCCATACAGGTCAACACGTACTTTAATCTTAGTGTTGACATGAATTGTCTGGTATGTCAGCTCAGAAGATGGCTCGTGGGCTGCTTCATCAGCATAGAAATGGATTGATTCCGTCTGCCTGTGACGTTGACAAATGTCAGAGGTGTTTGTTTTTTTCAGTAGGCCACACTGTGCACATAGCCATGCGATATTCAGTATAAAAAGTGTTTACATGTGCTGCGCTCTGATAACCTATTAGTATTAGGGAAAGACATCGCATGAAAATGTACGTAGTCAGATGACAATGTAGAACTTGATTTTTATTTTGTGTGTAAGGCTACAGCCGCCACACCATCTTAATTTTAAGGATGACATCCGCGCGCGCATTGATGTTCGTCTGTTCTCAAAAAAAAAAAAGGTCACGTTCTCCGAGGCTCTGGCCATGATCTAGACCTGAGTAGTCCATGGTAACTCTGGAAAATGACACCCAGGTGCAGGATACTGAAGCTCCATTACTCAAGAACTCGGTAAATACGTACCGTGCCGATTCATAAATTCCGCAAAAAGACATGTGTCGCCTTGTCGTACACGTTCTGCCACAAATTCCCAATACAAGAGCTTTGCATTCCTGTGGTTTATTACCTTGTTTTTTTGCAGGTTTTTTTTATTCTCCCGCGCGCACTAGTTTGGGTGAAGTCATCCATAAAATTAAGCCGGTGTGGCCTAAATTTGAATATTTCTGTTATGTGGTGCTGCTGAAATGAGTTGTACAAATTGACTGCAACGTCACTTTGTTTTCCTCTTACTATCATGCAGATTAAAGTTTTAAAAAACGAAGAGGTCTCAAAACCATGGCTGAAGCCTTGTCCTCCAACGCCGATACTTCAGCTTTTAAGGGGAATGACTATAGCATAGTGCATACACAGGCCAGGGATCCGAATTTGATATACACACATAACGCCATGAGCCCTGATCCGACGTACGCCAAAAACGACGTTAACCCCAATCCGATGTACCTACAAAGCACCATGGAGCCAAACGCCAGCCCTGGACCCTAGTCAAATAAGAGCAATGACAGTCAGACATCAGTTGATGCACATGACGAAGCCTCCTTTAGACCAGCTGACAACATTAACAACGATTGTCTTCAGCCGTATTCTGTAACACGCTGCCAGAAAGAATATGAGGTCTCAATCAAAATGAAAGAAAACACTGAGGACAATCCCCACACCCACGCCATACGCAGTTACTTATCAGAAACATGATGGAATTGACATCGAATCAGCTAACTGTGATGTCGGCCAGCCATATGCCGTTCAATACGAAGATGAAACTGTTGGTGACACAGCAAACAATGATGGCACTCCCAGCATCCAACGAAATGCAGTTAACCACCAGGAAGACGAGAAGCCCTTCCTTGGGCCACTCAACTGTAATGGCGGTCAGCCTTACGCTGTTAAATACCATGAAGATGACGATAGTGGCAATGCTGCGTCTAAAAACAGATATACAGTCAGTATCGCACCTGAAAATGAGGTCATTCAACCATACGCTGCCGCATACATGTGCCAGGGTGACGTGGGGTGGAACACAACTTCAAGATACCCTCATACAAGCCTGTCCTCACAGAATCAGAATCAACCAACGGCGGCATCAAACAATATCAATGACGTCTCGACCAGCCCGTCGAGCAATGGTGACCTCCATGCACTAGATCCAAATCCGATGTACGCTGCCGCAGACATGGTACGGGGTGACGTGGGGTGGAACACAGCACCAGGAGACACTCATGCAAGCCTGTCCTCCCAGAATCTACCAGCGACGGCTTTTAAACAGCATCAATGACGCCAATGATGTCCTACATGCACTCAATCCAAATCTGATGTACGCGCCAAACGTCCAGCGTCCTGCAACACACGGTAAGAACTTTACCAATTTTATAAACCGATTTTTGGAGAGAAATCTTTAAAAAATGGAGGTATTGTTTTTCGTGCGTCTGTATGTCTCTGTGTGTGTGTGTGTTTATGTTTCCGCACATTCGTAGTCATCATAACTTCATAACATCTTTATGGATTGTGATGATATTCGGTATGCTGGTAAATCTTAGGAAGACAAAGGTCAAGGTCAAATATGGGCCTCCTGGTGGATGACCTTGGTACTTCAGCAGAACTTCCGTTTTTTGTATCTTTGTCCTG